GTTCTTTTTTTAAAAGATTATTTTTGACTGCATAACTGGACTTAGGCATAGACCGAAGTTATAAAAATAGAGGATGTTTGCTTGGTTGCTGGGCGATGGAAAAGCCTTGCTCCTGGTTGCCCAGGTAAAAGTCTACGCCACGTGACAAACAGGTCTTCCTTCTTTTGCTGCCCAGGCTTGTTTTCAATGGTTGGGAGGCCTTTTCCACCGTCTGTGATTGTTGTGTATCAGCCTGGACAGGCTCCCTCGTTCTTTGGGTTAACTCCAGGGGAAATCCCCTTTTCTCTAGGCGGAAAACAGCCATCCCACCTGGATGAGAGTCCCCAACTAAAACAGGATCCCAAATATAAGCCTTCTTTGAAATAACTGCAAACAGAATATATGGGCCCTCATTTCCAGAACGCCAGACCTGCCATGCTGCTGAGATGGCCCCGTATTGATTTATAGAATTATAAATCCATGGAAGCATTTTAGCTTGTCTCTTAGGTGCACACAACATTCCTGATTTAATTCGCTGAATTGCACTGTCGGTCAGTCAAAGTTTATGTTGGTCACAGACCAGTATAGAACACAACAATTAACAAACTGTTGAAAACTAATAGAGGAGGACCAAATATAAAACATAAGCTAAAGGAGTAATACAGAATATTTTACTGCTATTATTACCCGTGTAAGCTATGTCCATAGAACCAAGAAAGATGTTATTTGTCTAAAACTGAGACATAAAGCTAAATTTTAAGACAGATGTAGGATACAATAAAATAATCTATTCGTATATATTGAACTGTGGTTCAACAGTTAGGCTTGGTTATACTATATTAAGCAATGAAGATTAATTGAACTTGGCAACATCCAAAATTGCCCAGATGAGATTGCATGATTATTATTTTTTGTTTAGAATTACCTTTGGGGACTGAAATAAAGTCCCTTAGATCAGAATTTCTCAACCTCAAGTTTTAAGATGCGTGGACTTCATCTCCCAGAATTCCTCAGTCAGCATGAATACTGACTGGGGAATTTCTGGAAGTTGAAGCCCACACATCTTAAAGCTTGTCGGCTGGGGCATTGTGGGAATTGAAGTCCACACAGTTTAACTTCAGTTGCTGAAAGTAAAAAACTGTCTTACAACATCCTGCATTTTTGAAAAACACATTTTAAAAGGGCTTTTGACAAGCAATTCTGTGGATCGGCCTACAGATATCCCCTTCCATCCCATCAGTCTGAAGTTTCTTTTAATGAGGTTGGGTTTCCTTCTCAGGCAATTACTACTTTCCCCTTTTTTCTCTTGCAACCTGTCAATTACTGTAAGGAAAAGGGACAAAAAGCAGCACCATAATCTTTGCCCAAGCTCCTTTCAACTCTGAAGCACACTGAGCTGGAATCTTTTCCAAATGTAATTGCTGCTGTGTAGGCATACTTAATGAATTTGCAGATGACACAGAGCTGAGAGAGCTAATGCTTTAGGAGACTGAAGGAGAAAATCAAAATTACCCCGATCTCTTAGAGAAGATAACAGAATGCAGTCGAAGAAGGACAAATACAAGAGCTTTCATTTTTGAAAAGGAAAGGAAATACCCAAGCAGAGGAACAGGAGTCACCTGCATGTTCCTTCTTGCTGTTGTGTAGAAAAAGATGGCAAAGTTGCAACAACAATAACAACAACAATAACAATAACAGCTTCCAACCTTCGACTATATCTCTAACATCATCAAACATCCACATCTGCCTATCCCAGGTCCTTGGTAAGGACTCGATAGGTAGCCAAAAATGCCAAACCCAGTCTGAACTCCTGGCTGACTGTGGAATAATTAATAATATTAATAATAATAATAATAGTAGTAATATGACAGAGAAGCTAATTCTGACTGCACAAGGCCAAGTCTTAAGAACAAATTTATACAAAGTCAGAATTGAGAAGAGAGCAACAAATGCCACCTTTGCAAAAAAAAGGCTGCAGAAACAGGGCACAACTTGGTTAGCTGCAGTAAGAAGATTGTACAGAGCAACTGCAAACAGCGCATGACAGAACCGCAACAATGGTGCATTGGAATATTTGCAAGAAATACCACTTGCTTGCAAGCAAGAATTGGGGGGACTTTCAAACCAGGCCGCGTGGAGCGACAGGCAGACACGCAAAGCTTCACTTGTGCAAACGGCGGACAAGTGCATATGTGCAAAGCTCCACTTGCATGAGCAAAGAGCACTTGAGGGGAGGGAGCTTGTGCTCACGCGTGTACACGAGTGCAAGCGCCCTCTGCTTGCATGAGTAGAGCTTTGCACGCAAGCGCCCTCTGCTCACACACAAAGCTCCATTCACCTGAGTGGAGGGCACACCAATGGAGCTGTGCGCCTGTGCCTGCCACTCACCTGGCCCCCTCCACACTGGGCCAGGCCGTCAAGGTGGAAAGGTTGGGGACGGCTGCTTTAACATAATCCAAGGACAATATCTGTCTATCTCAGGTCCTTGGGAAGGACTCAGTAGGTAGATAAAAATGGCAGATCCCATCTAAACATCTGGCTGACTGTGTGACCAACCATAATAATAATAGTCACAATTGTGCTGCCTGGGTGTGCAGTGAAATATATCTTCAGCAAGAACAGCCCTTCTTTTTTCCCTTGCAAACGCCATCTCCCTCCTTCCTAAGGCGTCCAAGGACAAGGTGTCAAAAATGCTGCGAAGCAGGTTCTGCTGCTCTAAGCCTTCTGCTCCAGTGGAGAATTACTTGGCTGGATTGGAAGAGACACAACTCAGCAGCCTAAGAAGCCTCCTGAGAAGTTACTGGAAGGAGAAGCCCCGAACAACAAAGGCAAAAGAACCTCAAGAGATCAGTCCCGGAGCAAGCACCGTGCACGGAAGAGTCCTGCATCGCAGTCCCAGGATAAAATGCTCATGTAACAAAACCCTTGGTTGGTTTTGGCCAACCGCTTCATTCTGCAAAGAGCCTTAGTTCCCGGGAGCTGAAAATCCCAAACCGGCAGCACCGAGCCTTTCACACAGCCGAGAGAGCCACAACTCTGTGGCTGAGCAGTTTTGTTGGGGCACCAAAATTGGAGTTGCGGAGAAAAGCATGAAGGACATGTTGGTTTTCCTTTTGGTGCAAGCGGGCCAGGAGCGGTTCCTGAATTTGGTCAACAGAGTCTCCCCCGTAGGCTGCGTCTGCCTTTCCTAGTCTGATCTTTGCAGTTCTCCAGCCGAGAACCTGGCCGGCAGCTTTGCCCGCTGCCAGATGAGCTGGCCAACGTTTTGCAATGGGGAGGCGATGCCAGCCAGGATTCCCAGCCTAGAAGGACGGCTCTTTGGGGGAAAGCACGACCGAAGGCCGAGTGGAGCTTGCGGGTGACAGCAGAAGTCATTTTTGCTTTCGGTCTCACTAGATCCGGTCCTCTTCTTTTCCAGAGACACCTTGGAGAGTTGGGACAGCAGCAAGATGATCAAAATAATCTCACTAAGAAACCTCGGATGGAAATGGCTCTGTACAGAGACTTCCATCGGCCACCTATAATAATAATAATAATAAAGTTGGAAGGGACCTTGAGTTTGAGGGCTCCTGACTTAAGACATCCAAGAGCCTTAACTGCAGAGGGCGGAAAGAATCTTCTCTCTCACGCACAAGATCATTGTTCTTTGAAATCCTGGCCAGGATTATTCAGATTGGGCTGGCTGACATATGCGATTTAATAGGCGTTTAACCGTGTCTTTAGCAGCAGCTATTGAATCCGCTGTAATTGGGTTATAATTTATACGGGGGGGCGCTAAGCCCTGAGGAAACGGCAGCAGCTGTGGCCAGGCCTTCATGTTTTAAGAAGGGGCTGGGGGCTGGGGGCTGGGCCCACCCAAAGGCGGAGAGGGCTCAGCTTTTCTGTTATATTCTGTTTTCTGGTTCGTACAGCCAGCAAAAAAATCTGCAAAAAGAAATAGTGCAACCCCCTGCTTTTGCATCTCGGCTGTCTCAGATGGTTTATATAAACTGAGTAATTTTCAGCACGTCGGTTTATATAAGAATAAAATCCCAGCTCGCTTTGTACCACTTACGTCTCGCATTTGCCCATCCTTCAGGGGAACAGCTGTGAGACCGTTCCTCTCCCTCCCTCGGCTTCTCAAGTCTTGGAAGGGGAGGCGCAGGGACCGCGCAGAGAGCCCGCATTAGCAGACAGGGAAATTAAACATTTCCCTTTGCGTTAAACGCTGGAAAGGACCAGTAGAATCCTGTCCTTTATTTTTATTTTTGCTCCTGTCAGGTTTTTAACCGTACAACGTTAAACCTCGAGCAAAATGTCATTTTGGATCACGGAAGTAAGGCGGCATTAAAAAAAAAAAAAAAAGCCCTTTCCCCATATACACAGTTTTGTTTCTGAGCTTTCGGGTGGCTTTTTGTGGGGCTCAGCTTGGCAACTGTTTTGTTCCATTTAACACAGCGGTGCTTGCTTTGGTGCAGCGGGAACGATGGGTTTGGCTCTGGGGATTCATAACCGAGCTAGGAAATCTGCTTAGTATCCTTGTAGAAAGTTAATACAGGTAGTCCTTGACTTAAAACAGTTCATTTAGTGACCGTTCAAAGTTATAACGCCACTGAAAAAAGTGACTTATGACCATTTTCCACACTTAACGACCGTTGCAGCCTCCCCAGGGTCCTGTGTTCAAAGTTCAGACACTGGGCAACTGGTTCGCACTTATGATGGTCGCAGTGTCCCGGGGTCACGTGATCCCCTTTTGCGGCCTTCTGACAAGCCAAGTCAAGGGGGAAACCAGGTTCACTTAACAACCGTGTGACTAATATAACAATGCAGCGATTCGCTTAACAACTGCGGCAAGAAAGGTCGTAAAATGGGGCAAAACTCACTTACCAAATTTCTCATTTAACCATGTAAATTTTAGTCTCGATTTTGGGTGTACCTGCATGCCCAGACATACACCTGCCAGCCTCTTCCTGCAAACTGCTCTGCATCTGGGGGGGGGGGGGTTAAGTCTGCTACCTAACCTGCTTCCTTCCCTATTCCAGGTTTCAAGTGCCCCGTTTGCTCCAAATCAGTGGCTTCCGATGAAATGGAAATGCACTTTATCATGTGTCTGAGCAAACCCCGTCTCTCCTACAATGGTGAGTTCTTCTTGTCTGCCTGCGGACCCCCGTTTTCCAGGCCCCTGGCAGTGGCTGCAGGGGGCAAGGCCGGGGGCACCGGGAGGCCTTTCCCAGCCCGGCCTTCCGGCTGGTGTCCAAAAAGGTGTCCAACCCGCTTCTCCCGGTCCTGTTCCTCCTGCTAGCTCTCTGGCCACCTTGTGCCCTGCCCTGCTCGCCCGGCGTCTCCCCACTTCTGTGTGCGTGGCATGAGCCCCGGCCTGACACGCTGGGTGCGAAAGGCCGAGCCGGGCGTCGAGTGAGGCAGGGAGAGAAGGGTCCCCATTTCTGCCTCCATACGAAGGCCAGCTTCCTTCGTTTTTCAGCAGGCGATTGTTTGCGTTGCTGCTTCTGCACTGGGTGCCAACTTCTATTCCTGCCCTGCCAGCCCCCAGGGAAGATGAGCTGCCCGCTTGTGGCTCCTTTGGCAGGCAGCAGGGAGGGGAGGGGTCCGTGGGTCTGCCTTGGCCTGATCCAAAGGGCTCCGGAGAGGACTCTGCTGCCGTCTAGGGAGTGCCTGGCATGCAGCAGCCCAGCTGGGCAGAGTTGGGGGAGGGAGTAGCGGTGGGTGAGCTGCTCCCCCTCGTGCCCTTCCTCTGCGTCCTTCTGCCTGGCACGGAGCAGCCGGAGGGCAGGGCCAGCTTCGTCTGGCGCGGCTGCCACCTTTGCTATCTCAGGCAGCTGGCCGGCTCCCAACGCGGGGAGGAGCCCCTGCGTTCCAGGTGCAGGAAGGAGCCTGCCGGCCCACCAGAGAGGGAGGGCCCTGGTGGGTGGGTGGGGAGACATCTGCTCCAGCAGCAGTGCCAGCCCGTGTCAGCCCTGCAGCCTGCCAATGTCCCAGAGGATCTCCCTGGCCAGGCCGAGACGGCAGGGATGGCGCCAGGCAGCCCCTCGGTGGGGCCAAGGGGAGGGCAGCAGCCTTGCTTGGTGCTGTAGCCAGAGCGATCTGCCCAGCCTCAGCCAGAGGGCCGTGCCAGCATGGCTTCCTTGCCCACAGGGCGGCCCTTCGCTTCTCCTTCTCTCCCTCCCCAGCTCTCCGCGCATCTAACATGAGGTTGTCTCAGGTCAAGTGCTGGGCGGGGGGAGAACGGGGGGGAGGCAGAGGGATCGATGCCAGCAAACCCGCCAGGCACTTAGCAACTTTGCCATCCTCCCCCTTCTCCCCCCCCCCAATTGCTGTCACATTTTGGGCTTATTTTGGGAGCTGCCAAGCCAAGGCGGGTCTACACAGCGGCGCCTTTGGGGAGACGGCAGGGAACAGACCGCTGCATCTGGTCTGCCCCAGATGCACGGGGGACTACTGTGCCCAGCGTTCCCAGCCCCCACAGGTTTGACATGTCTCTTTTTCAAGCTTTGGGCCCCGAGTTGAGAGGAGGATTCACACAACACGGGGGTTCCCCCCCGAAGTGCCTGGGTGTCCTCTAACCTGGTAGATCCCAAACGACTCTCCTCATCAAGCCTAGTCAAAGGGGGTTGTGTGAACCCAGCTGCCCTTTTCTGACCCAGCTCATCCTGCCGTCTCTTTCTCTCCTGCAGACGACGTGCTAACAAAGGATTCGGGCGAATGTGTCATTTGCCTGGAGGAACTTCTGCAAGGAGACACGATAGCCCGGCTGCCGTGCCTCTGCATTTATCACAAGAGGTAGAGTATGAAGGGCCTGGGGCCCCCGAGGAAGGGCCCGCGTTGGGCCCCCTGGTTCAGAGGGGTCGAGAGGGTGGGAAAGGACCCCGCTGGTCTCCCAAGGCTCCTGCGTGCTGCTCCTCCGAAGCCCACAAGCAGCCATGCATGGGGACGCTTTCCTTCTGCCGCAGCTTCCCTCACATGCCACGCAGGGCAGTGAGGGATCTCTTTTCTCTTCTGCAGCTGTATAGATTCCTGGTTTGAAGTCAACAGATCCTGCCCAGAACACCCGTCAGATTGACCGCAGGATCACACCCGGACCTCTTTCCAGGTGAGGCCCTGCCTCTTGGTCTTGCACGTGCCCATCGTAAAGAATCTCACTTCCTAAACAGAGTCTGGAAACTCCTGGTTTAACCTGAATTATTAAGGAAAAATGCAGTCTGGACTAAGGTGGTTGATCCATTTGTAGTTAAGCTGGCTGAAAATTTGGAAAGTCTCTGTCCCAATCGAGGGAGGGGCTGCCCACTGAAAAAGAGTTGGGGAATGGTGCATCACTTTTAACGGAGGCCTTTGAAAGCAACCAAAATATTTTGTGCAGGCAAAAACGGAAAGAAACGCCATCGGCCCACATTATAATGAAGGAATTGGTTATTAAGAAATGAGAGAAAAAGCACGTTCTTTCCAATAGTTCCGCAGAGAGTGATTTGTCAGTAAGAATTGCAAACAGGAAATAAATTCTCAAAACTAATATTTGTTTACATTTTTCCGTAAACAAAACTAAATTAGCAAAGTCCTTGACCCAGCCCTCGTTTGTTGGAAAAAGGACAGGACAAGAAATGCCATCTATGTCTTCCCAGATTATCTTTCAAATTCCTGGCAGGGCCCTAAATTTTTCTGGTGACTTCCCAACCAAGCTCAAATCAGTTTTGACTCAGCTTAGTTTTTGCTTAGGGGGTCCGGCTAACACTGCTTGTACAGCCAGAATCCTTAAACTAAATCTTGCCTGATCTCATTTTTGATTCAAATGTTCTCATGAACTTTGAGACGTATTTTTGTTTGTCACAGGAAGGTAGGGGTGGCAGAATTTGAGAAAAATTCTGCTGGCTGGGGAATTCTGGGCGTTGAAGTCCGTTTGCGGCTGGTGGGAAACAGTTTATTTATTTATTTTATTTATTTTATTAAACTTATATGCCGCCCTTCTCCCAACAGGACTCAGGGCGGCTTACAGCATATTAAAACGATACAAACACTATCCCCAATAAAAACCGATTAAAAACAAATATTTACCGCTGTGTTACCATTAAAATTCTAATTAAAATTGTCCCTATTTAAAATTCTCCCTAGGCCAGACCCGCTTGCTGAAAAAGCCATGTCTTGAGGGCGCGGCGAAAAGATAGGAGATCCGGAATCGTCCGGATCTCGGGGGGTAGTTCGTTCCAGACTCCCTTCCCACTCTGTTATTCTATTATTCCTCGAAAGACTTAGAAACGAAACACATTGCCTTCTTTGCATAGAAGTTTTTTGGGGGGCTCTTTAGCACCAATGCTTTTTTTTTTTCTCAACAGGAGATTTCACCATCCATCCTTCTTCCACACACACACACACCCCAACTTCCTCCAAACCAGCTCTGGGACCCCCCTCCCCAACGGCAGCCTGGACATTTTGTGTTCAGTTCTGGACTTCAGAGGCAAAGAAGACCCCAAAAAACAACTGCAAGGCCATACTTGGGGAGCCGTCCTCCTGTCTGGGCAGGGGGACGAAGGAGCGGGCCCAGGGCAGGAGCCAGTGGCCGCCGGGCCCCCACCCCACAGCTCCGCCATGATGTTTGTTTGGGCTAGATCCCGGCCGCTCGAGCGAAACGGAGCACGGCGAGCGTCGGTGCCATTCCAGGACTCTTCCTTCCTGCCCACACACAGGGCACACTTTTGCACGAGCAAAGAGGTGGTCTACCCCTCCCTTTTTATTTTCTTGGAGCAGCAAGGCCATTTTCCCACTCCCCATCTGCCCCCCCCACCCCCCCAGTCCTAAGGAGGAGGAGGAGGAGGAGGAGGAGAAGAAGAATTGGGCGGTTTTCTTTGGCAATTTTTGAAGGCGTTGTGAGTGTGACTTTTCCAATGTTTACAAAACAGCCGCGTTCGTGTCAACCAACGTGCCAGGTGATGTTTACAGAAGCAGAATTTTGGAGACCTTTTTCTTCCGCCCTTCATCAACATCCCCCCCCCATTGCCAAAAATCCTTTTACTCTTTCTTCCTCCTCTTCCTCTTCCACCGCCCCCCTCGACCTCCGTGCTGGCTGCAACAAGACCAGAACGGTTTTCAGCCCTTTGTGGAGCGCAGGACTGGCCTTTTTTCTTAAAGCAACACACACAGAGGATACACCACACACACACACACCCTCCCGCCCTGCCAGTCCACAATGGAGCACGAAGCAAAGACTGGCTGAGCCACAGGGTTGCGGGTGGGGTGGGGAACCTCTAATGGACGGTTTTGATCCGCAGGAAAAGTATCTGTATTTATATAGGAAACAAAAAAACAAAAAAAGAAAACAAACTTTAAAAATTACAAAAAGCAAAAAAAAAAAAAATCAAAGCTTGGGAAGGGAAACTTCCCCTATTAGTCAAGTGTTTTGATATGGTATTCAATAATGCTCAATAAAATAGTCACTGTTATTTTATTTCCAGGTATTCTTATTTTTCTGAAGGATTTGGGACGCGAGGGGACAAGCGTGCACTGGGTGGGTTTACCACACTTGTTTTTACACTCAGAAATGTGAGTCCCTTGAAACGGACATGTATTCAAGTGTAGCGACGTTTGTGGGGAATGCTCTGGTGAAGCCACAATCTGAAAACAGTCGGGGTTTTTTTTTTTTTTTTAAAGAAAATTATCTATCATGAAATTGCAGCAGGATTTAATTTACTACAGGTTACCATTTTTTTAAACTATAAACAATATCTCCCTGGCCACCTGGAGAGATGGATAAAGGCTGCAATTACACCAACTCCCCAGCTTGTTCAGAAAAAAAAATAACACCACAGCACAACAAAACTGAAATAACAGCCCCTGAATAGGTTGAGAGTTGGAGTGCCTAAGTGTGAAGCCCAGTGCTCAAGTGCAGGCTCTCACTGGATAACAACACGCGGTGTGAACGGGGAGAGATGTATAGCCCAGCCCATCTGCTGCTATGTCGGCTACTACCAGGAACATGTGCCAATAAGACTTATTTTTGGCCAACGACTAAGCCAAGAAGATGACTACATTCTGGCAGTCTAGAGTTTGATGTAGACAGAGGAGGAAGAAATCAGCAAAGATTCTGTGTGTTCCTTGATGATAGATGAATCCTGCATTAATCCGGTAGGAAAAATCTGGATACATCCTGCTTCAATTCACTGCAGCTTTGACAAAGCAAAATAAAAGATCCCCAGAGATAAGAGGCGGATCTAAATAAACTGAAAAGCTGGGGAAAGGGTGGCATTTTGCTTCCAGGCTCACAACAGAAACCCTCGGCCTGTCGCTGCCACCTGTGCATAAACCAGATTTGCCCCCAAGGCAACGTTAGCAACGAAGGAAATAAAGAGATTAAACGTTCTTCGAATGAATGTTTTGCAACCTCCAGTTTCAGCGAAATACATTACATCAGTCCTGAAGCATCTGAGGAAGGATTGTGTGGGGGTAATGACAAAGATAGCGTTGCTTTTTGTATGTGCGTTGTTGTGACATCTCGCAGATACACCAAAGAGGTAGAATTTGTGGTGTATTGCCACAATGGATCGGATCCAACAGATAGATGCCTCTGGAACAGTTTCCAAACTTTGGAGACTCTGAATGTGTGGACTTCAATTCCCAGAATTCTCCATAGTGACCATGCTGGCTGTGGCATTCTGGGAATTGAAATCCCCAGGTTGGGGATTTGAGGATGCTTCCCTATTGTTTAATAGCTGCATTTCTGATCCTGCTGGAAAGAGGAGATAGAAGCGAAGAGGCCTCACTCCGGACTTCTCAGCATATTCAGGAGCCTCTCCCAGCCAGGCCTTCCCGAGGTCAGAGCACCTTTCCAGGGTTCATGAGGTTTTTGGGGTCCAAGGCCATCTTGATCTGCCACATGGTGGAGAGGGCCACTTCCCCTACTTCCTGGCGCAAAAGCCGACGTTTGCCCAGGCCGATGCCATGCTCCCCCGTGCAGGTGCCACCCACTGCCAGGGCTCTCCTGGAGAAAAGAGATCAAAATGCACATCCCAGGTCTCACTTCCAAGGTGAGAAAAGTAGAGGAACTTGGCGTTTTTTCATATCTCTCCTCTCTCTCTAATTTCTCTTCCTCCCTTTTTGTTTCCTGCCTTTTTTCTTTTTCTCCTTCCTTCCCTTTCTTCCTTCTTTCCTTCCTTCCTTCCATCCGTCCGTCCTTGAATTTATCTGTTCCCTTAGAAGACTATTCTTCATCCCGAAGACCCTTTATGCCTAAAACCTTCAGCCCAGGGATAAAGGAATATCAGGCGGGACTTGGGGGGAAAATGTCCGCAACCTGCTAGGCACTCTTTGAGGAAGACTCGGTCTCAAGACAAAGGTGAGAGTGAGAAACAAACTCAGGAGCCCACCTTAACTTTGTCAACCTAAAGAGAGGAACTGGGAGCACTTTTGAAAACTATCCCTTCAAGGTAGGCCAGGTCAAGCGGACACGGTAGGGATTCCAAGGTAGAATAACAGAACCTTGAAAGCTTGACAAGATTTCTTTCTGACCATCTTCTATTAAACAAAATAAAGGTAGGATTATTTTGAGTTTCTCGCTCTTCTCTCTTTCTCCGAATTGGGGAATCAAAGCCCCTTCCCAAGATTTCTTTTTTCTAAATTCCTCGTCTGTAACTTGTGCCTTCTCCCCACATGGACCCAGAGGGGCTGTCCCTGCCCACGAGGCCAAGGCTTTCCCCCCCCAGCCCACGCCTACCTGCCCAGACGTTTGGCAAACTCGGCCACCCTCTCCTTTTCTTCGGCATCTTCAGGATCGAGAATCAGCAGGCAGTGAAAGTTGCCGTCCCCAACGTGGCCCACAAGGGGACCTGGAGACATGAAAGGGACAGCAGCCCCCCGTTTCAAACTTCCTTAACATGTTCTCTGGGACGACGGCCCCCATCATTTTGCAAATCAAGGACACTGCAGTCCCTTCTCACCTGGAGGATACCCACCCACCCCTCCTACGGTACGATTTAAAATTACAGGTAGTCCTCGAGTTACGACTGTAATGAAGCCTGCCCAGTATGGTCTTAAATTGTGTTGCTAATTGTGAAGTCGTGTCCCACCCATCGCGACCCCACGGACAACGTTCCTCCAGGCCTTCCTGTCCTCTACCATCCTTTGGAGTCCATTTAAGCTCACGCCTTACAATCTTAATTTGTAAAAGCCATAAAACTGATTTTACCAGCTTTTTTGTGGCAGTGCGAATGCCACGGTCATCAAGCCAACCCATGGTGCAATTTTGCCCAAAATCGGAAATATGGTCATGTGACCATGGGAGGAGGCCCTCAGAACTTTGGATCTGGATTGTAAGTCTCTTTTTTCAGTTAGGTCTTAACTTCAAATGGTTGCAAAGCAACTGATCGTAAGCCGAGAACTACCTGTAATCAGACATTTAATCCTGGATGATTTTCTGGCCATAGTGAGACACAAACCGTCCACTTTTCAACTGAAGCTCTCACTGGCCAGGTTGGGCTAGTCTGTGCTTCAGTGCTGTACAGCCCCAGCCAGGTTTAGCCACAATATGGTTTATTTGTTGGGAGAAAACCCGTTAATGTGCAACCGACTTTGTTTAACCTGGCTTTAGAGCTTAGTATGTCGTACAAACCCAGCTTCTGTTAATGATTTCTTTAAATGACACCAATTGAGAATGACTCCTATGCAGCCAAGATTAGTATCTTTGTTTTAAACTTGCCTTCAGTTAACCCAAAGGTGGAGAACTATGGCCCCTTTATGACTTGTAGACTTCAACTCCCAGAATTCCTGGCTGGCAACACCAGAAGTGTTGCTTTAGAAATTGTTAAGATGGAGAAATGAAACCTCTACGATTCAGCTGAAGACCGCGAGAGGCTGAAACCTTTCCAAGGACACCGCAGCAGGTGTGGGGAAGAAGCAGACGGTTCCCATAACAAAGTGAAATTGCTTACACAGACTAGAAGGTGTGAGTTGGGCCGGAGAAATTATTATTTAATTCTATGAACTGGTGTCTGGGAACGTCAGTTAGTTTTGCCTCAACATTACCATGCCGTGTATTCAATAAACAGAGTTTTGGAAACAGAATGAACCTGGATTCTTTTTTGTTTTTGTTTTTGGATCCTCAAGCTGAATGCTCAGTCAGATTATAGGAGGAGAAGTATTTGCAGGGTAGGTCAAAAAAGAAAAATGACAGCAGAGTCCTGGTTTTTTGCACATATACAAAAAACCAGAGCTTCACCTGCGTGGCTATAGCCACTACGGCTTCCTCGTTGACTTTGATTGTCATAAAAGGTGATGACATAATCCCGGGATGCTGCAGCCGTCATAAATATGAACCAGTGGCCAAATTCTGATCACATGACCAGTTGGGGAGGGGGAACAAGGGACTGGCCAATTCCCACATCTCCTGGGCTGGACCACGAAACAGCCTTGTGATAGGTATACAAACCACATTCACTCACCTGTAAGGTTGGAGTGCAGCAAGTCTTTCTTGGTTTCTAGTAGGACCTCAGGAAGGTGTGAGAGGGGGACGCACACATCTGTGGAGTAGCCCTGTGGGAAGTGAGGAAGGGCAAAAGGTTGCATTAGAGCAGTGTTTGTCGATCTCAGCAACTTGGAAGATGTGTGGACTTCAATTCCCAGAATTCCCCAGCCAGCTGAGCTGGCTGGGGAATTCTGGGAATTGAAATCCACACATCTTCCAAGTTGCTGAGATCGACAAACACTGCTATAGATTCACACCATCAACCAGTTTGAAACTCAGAACTGGGATCAAGGAAAGTGCAAGGCAAGGGGATCACTCTAGCTCACTCAGAAAAGAGAGCCAAGCTACAAAGTAACGGGACTCTTCTTTCAAGATACCTGGCCGCCCTCCAGCTCACCTTTTTGCCAGGACGAAGAGCCAGCGCTGCATACCAAGCATTGTGCCGAGCTGTCCACAGCTGTCCACGGGCCTCCGGTTCCCGGGCCCACACAAAGTCCGAGCCTCCATTGAACTGCACAATCGCCTCTGCAGAGGGAGACTCGCATAAAACCCCCCTTCTGCCACCAATGGTAACCTGGTCCTACTGATCTGCTTCATAGGTTGATTCAGCCCTGACCTGCTGACTCATACAGGCAGTCCTTGACTTACAGCCATTTTGTTTAGTGACCTCTTAGGAAAGCAGGACTCTCGAAACCAGCATAACTTCCAAAGAATCTTTTACTGAGAGAAAGTGATTGCAGAGAGGTCAGGCAGAATCTGAACTTCCCATGCAAAACGTTCAGCTAATTTCCCACTGTCCACAGCCCATCCCAGTGCCCCAGTCCATCGGGAGCCAATCAGCTGGTGCGAAGTTGTTGTGAGAGTTGTGTCGTTCCCTGGCACTGCGACCTTGGTAGCAGGCAAGCGTTATCCGGAAAGGAGTCAAACCAGATGGCCCTGAGGGTTCATTCCCCCCTCCCCAATTCCCATGCAGATACCTCAAAGGCCCCCTCCCCAATGCAGATACATCAAAGCAAAAAGTAAATACAATAGGGAAACATCCTCAAATCCCCAAGTAACTCCCCCTTCCCCTTGGAATGAGTGTTCCGGTAGGGACCCAGCATGCCCCCTCCCTGGCCCCTCTTCGTGGGACCTACCTGTGGCTCGTACTTGCTCCTCCACGCTCTGCTGGCTGCCGTGGAACTCCAGGAAGAGGGTGGGCAGCTCTGCACAGTTCAGCCCACTGTAGTGGTTACAGGCCCCCATCATCACCTCATCCAGGAACTCTGCGTTGGGGGGAGGCACCGAAATAGGAGAATGCCCGGCCAGCCTTGGCCTACCAAGGACTGGCAGCCAGTTTTGGAATTGCACAGTACAGGTAGTCCTCGCATTATGACGGTAACGGAGCCTGCCCATTACGGTCGTAAATCATGACAGCTGTACAGTGGGTCCTCAGGTGACTGGACCTGATTTGGCAACATTTTGTGGCACTCGTTAAGCAAATCATGATAGTCATTAAGTGAACCCACAGTTGTTAAGTGGATCCATTCTTTGCTATGGGGGTGTTTTGCCAAAAATTGGAAATAAATGGTGGGTTTTTTGGCAAAAATGTCATAAATCATGGGTACACAACTCCTGGACATTGCAAATGGGTGTAACTGCAGGTGAGTTGCCGAGTGCTTGAAACACAGTCACACGACAGTGAAAGAGGACAGAACTTCGGAATTGGGTCCTAAGTACCTTTTGGGAGCTCCATCATAACTTCAAATGGTCACTAAGTGCCCAGTCATAAGTCAGAGACTACCTGTGTCCAAATTCCTCTCCAAAAAGTCTGGGTTACAATCAGTTCTTCCACCCCCCTTTTTCTATCTTCTGTTCAGGTTGCTTCAGTTTCCCTTCCCCACAGACATCTGGGGTCCTACTCACCAATGCGGGCAATGGGGAGCCCGGCTTGGAGAACCTGCACGGTGCTGTCCACGGCTGCTTGGATGTTGGGAAAGGCACAGGTGGCCGCCATGGTGGCCTCAGGGATACCATGCAGTCTCAGGGTGGCCTGGGTGATGAATCCCAGGGTCCCCTCCGAGCCCACAAAGAGCCCTGTCAGGTGGTATCCAGCCGCGCTCTTCCTGCAGAAGAAGGAAGAGTCTGATGAGGTCCGAGAACCAACCGGGGTCCCCTTCCATGATTTTAGCACCCCACTGGCTGGGGGAGCACATCTCACTCAGCTTTGCTGATCTCCAAAAGGGAAGCAAAGCACCGACCCCTTGTTGCCAGTGGGGAAGACATGAACCTCTGAAGGGCACTTTGGAAGACGTGAGCACAAGCTTAGAGACCTCTGCCATAGGAGATCCCTGGCTGCCACCCATACAGCTGGGACCCCAGGGAGAAGAGAGAGAGAGGTGAGGGGATACCTGGGCCGCCGGCTCTGCCCGGCTGTATGCAAGACCCTCCCATCTGGCAGGACCACCTGCAGGTTGAGGACATTCTGGCGCATGGTGCCGTAGCGCACGGCATTTGTCCCGGAGGCTGCAGTGGCCACCATGCCACAGAGCGAGGCATCGGCCCCGGGGTCTGAGGAGGAAGGGAACAGCAAGGGGGGAGGAGAACCTGAGCCCCTCACCCACCCCCGATAATCGCAGGAGCCTTAGGCCAACCCTCTGAGTAGACCCGCACTGAGTTCGAAAGGCAACAGTGGGGAAACCAGATAGGTATACCAACACAGCCCCTCCAAATTTTGCTAGAGGAGCCCCCCCCCAACCTTGGGCCACTGATGCCCCCACAACCTGTCTCCAAGGGGCCATACCGACAGGGAACCAGAGGCCACTCCCTCTCAAGAATTGGTTTAGCGCCTTGCGCGTCACTCCTGCCTCTACAGCAACCGTGAAATCTTCAGGGTGAAGCTCAGAAATTTGGTCCATTTTCATCAAGTTGACACACACACCTCCCTGGGGGAAAACACAGGCAGGGTTCACACAACCCTTGGGACCCAGATTACAAAGATGCACTTGATATTAGCAATAGCAATAACACTTAGACTTATATACCACCCCATAGCACTCTATATACCACCCCATAGCACTTTACAGCCCTATATATATGCCAATCATGTACGCATGATTGGCATATTGCCCCCAACAATCTGGGTCCTCATTTTACCGACTTCGGAAGGACGGGTGGCGGAGTCAACCTTGAGCCGGTCAGGATCAAACTGCTGACAGCCGGCAGAGTTAGCCTGCAGCGCTGCATTCTAACCCCTGTGCCATCAGGGTTCATATTACTTACTTCAGGTAACGTTTCTTAAAATCCAATCTCCTGCCTGAGCTGGGGGTTGGGCTAGAAGACCTCTAAGGTCTCTTCCATAGAACTCTGTTATTCCGTTAATGCTTCCACCAATTCCTACTCTAGGCTGCAGCCATGGAATCTATCTCCTGGTGGTGTCTACTCTAATTACTCACAGCTCTGACTGTCAATACTGTCCCTTTTGCCAGCTTCCCTTTTGCACCCACGTTATAGGGTCTCCTGCTATGGGCAGGGATTTGGACTAGAGAACCTCCAAGGTCCCTTCCAGCTCTATCCTGAATTAAAATTGATCCCCACCGTCCCAGCTGGCCAACTACAGCTCAGAAGGTCCCACCAACCAATGTTGAAGGATCCACAAAGACTTAAATGTAGGCTGAACAGAGTTTGCCGATCCAGGCCCCGAGGCTCAGCTGAACTAGAGAGACCCCCCAATGAAGATTCGAGCCAGACCCCGCACAGCATTAAGCCCCTGCAGGGACCCGGCCAGCCTCTGCTCTGCCTGGCTGCAGTTCCTTACCTGCACGGCGCTGACCCCCCCTTCCAGACCGGTGCCCGTCCCGAAGGGGATGATGGGGACCCCTCGGCTGTAGCACGTTGCTGCCAGCAAGCTGACCTGCTCCACGCTCTGGGGCCAGACCACGGCATCCGGGGGGCAGTTCCTAGAAGGGAGAGACATTGCAAGCCTCGATACAGGCAGTCCTCGACTTACGACCACAACTGAGCCCAACAGAGACATCCGTTAAGCGATTTTTGGCCCATTTTACCACCTTTCTTGCCATCGTTGTTAAGCGAACCACTGCAGGTGTTAAATTAACAGCACGGTTGTTAAGTGAACCTGGCTCCCCCCCCACTGACTTTGCTTGTCAGAAGGTCGCCAAAGGGGTTCACGTGACCCTGGGATGCTGCGACCGTCATAAATATGAGCCAGCTGCGAAGCATTTGAATTTTGATCACGTGACCCTGGGGAGGCTGCAAAGGCCGTAACTGTGAAAAACGGTCCTAAGTCACTTTTCTCGGGGCTGTTGTTAACTTTGAACGGTCACTAAATGAACTGTTGTAAATCGAGCACTACCTGTAAGGAATATCTCTACTCCGGATGAGGAGAAAGAGGGCAATGAACACTTTGAGCCTCTCAGAGGCCTGTAAATGTTCTGGCGGGAGACGCCATTTCCTGCCTCCTGAGGTAAACAGAAACCTACCTGTGCATCGACTCGTCCTGCCCATGTTGCTCACGGACAATGGCGGCTGTGGACACATTGGGGGCCCCCACAATCGCTCTGAGGGAATTGAGGAAATCCTCCGTCAGCCACTCCTGGGGAAGGAAAGGAGGCCACATGGAGATCATGACACAAGATGGAGGCCAGAATTTGTTTGCGGCCGTCCCCTCTGAAACAGTGGCAAAGTCTACATCAGTGTTTCTCAACCTTGACAATTTTAAGGCATGTGGACTTCAACTCCCAGAATTCCACAGCCAGCAATGCTGGCTGTGGAATTCTGGGAGTTGAAGTCCACATGCCTTAAAATTGTCAAGGTTGAGAAACACTGGTCTACATTATGTTCCCCATGGGCACCTCTTTCCCAGCCCTGGATTCAGCGGACCCACCTTAATCCTTTTCTTTGCTTTCTGCTTTACACCAGTTTCCCTGAGGGAATTGAATTCCCAATGGGAATTAAAAAAGGCAAAGCCTCTGTCCAGTGGAGCTCAACTCCTGGTGGCTTTATAAACCTCTTCATGCAGCGTTCTTGGGAACAAGATGGCTTTTCCATTTGCTGACCCCCCCCCCCAGTGTTCCAGTATTTGAGGGGCTGCCACAAGGCAGAGGGGGTCAGGTTGTTCACCAGAGGGAAGGACAAGAAACAATGGTTGGAAACTGATCAAAGAGAGAAGCAACCTGGAATGGCTCAGGAATTCTGGGAGCTGAAGTCCCCGAGTCACAAAAGAGCCAAGGTTGCCTACCCCTGGTATAGGGTCTCCTGTCCGTGCAGGGGGTTGGACTAGAAGACCTCCAAGGTCCCTTCCAGCTCTATTCTGATTCTGATCTCATCGGGTGGGAACTGGAAGAAGTCTGCCAAAGCAACACATTCCTGAACACTTTTCTCTAATCCAGGGGCGGGCAACTCTGCCAACTTTACGACCTCTGGACTTTAACCGAGACATGGCTGGCTCGGGCATTCAAGCAGCTGAAGACCGCAAGGTCTTAAAAGTTCCTGGCTCAGGAATTCTGGGAGTTGAAGTCCACAAGGCATAAAAGGGCCCTAGTTCCCCACCTCCGCTCCAATCCAGCCTAACTTCACTCTCTAAACCAGTGTTTCTCAACCTTGACCATTTTAAGGCATGTGGACTTCAACTCCCAGAATTCCACAGCCAGCAATGCTGGCTGTGGAATTCTGGGAGTTGAAGTCCACATGCCTTAAAATTTGAGAAACACTGCTCTAAACTTCCCTTACGATAAGCAGGGATTTACAAACATGCGTCCCAGCGACTGGGAGCCCAAACGCCCCGGGGGCAACCGGGACCAGCAGAACAATCCGATAAAAACCAAATAGTTGGGTTTTGCGGGGGGGAGGGGGGAGGAGAAGAGGCAAAGAAAAGAGCCAAGAACCTGCTCAGGTAGGCAGGTAAGGCAGGTAAGCAAGCGGGCCAACAGCTGGCCCGTGCACGTTTTCTCCGTGCAAAGCGGAGGCTCTCCCTTGCTGCTCGACCCCGGTCTCCGGAAGCCTCCCCCAAGAGGGACCACCCTGCCCGGCCCCCCTTACCCGCCATCCTCTCCCCCCACGCCCCCCAATACCTTGGCGGGCGCCGCAGAGAAGCGCCTGGCCGCGCAGCCCAGAAGGCGGCCCAGGGCCATGGCTGTCCGCGGGGCGTGCCGAGGGCGGCAGGGAGGCGGTGCAGCCCGGCTGCGGCTTAAGGTGGACCGGGAACCCAAGACGGCCCTCTCCAATAATAATAATAATAATAATAATAATAATAATAATAATAATAATAATAATAATAATAATAATGATGATGATGATGATGATGATGATGATGATGATGATGATGATGATGATGATGATGATGATGATAATAATAATAATAATAATAATAATAATAATGATGATGATGATGATGATGATGATGATAATAATAGGGGTGATGTAATAACTGTTCCAGTATTTGAAGGGCTGCCACAAAGAAGAGGAGTGGATCAACTCTTCTCCAAAGCACCAGAGGGCAGGAAAAGAAACAACGGGTAGAAACTGACCAAAGAGAGAAGCAACCTGGAATTAAGGAGAAACTGCCTGACAGTGAGGACAATTAACCAGTGGAACAGCTTGCCACCAGAAATCGTGGGCGCTCCATCACTGGAGATTTTTAAGAAGAGACTGGACATTCATCTGTCTGAGATGGTATAGGTTCTCCTGCTTGAGCGTGGGGCTGGACTAGACGACCTCCAAGGTCCCTTCCAGCTCCTATTCTATTCTATTCTATTCTATTCTATTCTATTCTATTCATAATGACGACAACAACAATAGAGTTGGAAGGGACCTTGGAGGTCATCTAGTCCAACCCCCTGCTCAAACAGGAGACCGTATACAGTTTCAGACAAATGGCTGTCCAGTCTCTTCTTAAAAGCCTCCATTGATGGGCATCCACAACTTCTGAAGGCGAGCCATTCCACTACTTAATTGTTCTCATTGTAAGGAAATTTCTCCTTAGTTTTAGTTTTTAGTTTTAGTTTTCTCCTTGATTAGTTTCCATCCTTTGCTTCTTGTCCTGCTTTCAGGTGCTTTGGAGAATAGGTTGAGCCCCCCCCCCTCTTCTCTGTGGCTGTCTCTCAAATATTGGAAGACTGCTATCCTGTCGCCCCCAGTCCTTCTTTTCACTAGACTAGACAAACCCAATCCCTGCAACCGTTCTTCATATGTTTTAGCCTCCAGTCCCCTGATCATCTTTGTCGCTCTTCTCTGCTCTCTTTCCAGAGTCTCAACATCTTTTTTATATCAAAACTGAATGCCGTGTTCCAAGTGATCTTATCAAGGCATTGCAATTATTTTATATAATACAATTACATAATTATACATTATCTTATATAATATATAATTGTATTATAAGGCCTTATAATTATATTATCTGCATTCTTGAACTGCGCCCACACATTTTATGAGCTGTCTCATCCATGTTGAGCTGCACCTGTTTAATAACCACCGCTTTCTGATTAATAACCACATCCCAAGAACCTGTTCAAGAACCCTGCTGCAATGCAGCTCTGAGACACTGCATGGAACACTAGGGGGGAAATAAATGACCGATGCAAAATGTGTTCAGCTGCTTTTATTGCTGTTCCATCACTGAGGAGTGTTAGTTATTAGCAAGGGTGGATTCAATGAAGGGCAAAAGTTCTGTAACGCGGGCATAGACCCCCGGGCTGGCTGGAGAGCAGGTGCTGCTGCCCCAGGAGACAATCCCAACCAGATTCCAGGCCCCATTCTTCTGACAGACCAGAGGACCACCAGAATCACCCTGTAGGAGAAACCAGAAAAGAAGGTTAGTGGCTGATGGAGCAGAGTGTTGGAAGGGAGGTCACAAGCAGCAGATCTTCAAGGATGGAGACAGTGGCCTCCTTGCTTCCCCAAACCAAAGTGGAATGGCCAGGAGAAACCAACTCCAGGGACAAATAAGGACCATAGGAGACTTGGAGACCTTTACACAAGTTCATTGACCTTCTGAAGATGGTGAGAACTTCTCTAGAAGTTCACCAAGTGGGAGATGACCTTCTGAAGATGGTGAGAACTTCTCTAGAAGTTCACCAAGTGGGAGACGATCTGAGGATGGCGAGAACTTCTCTAGAAGTTCACCAAGTGGGAGACGACCTTCTGAAGATGGTGAGAACTTCTCTAGAAGTTCACCAAATGGGAGACATGAAGTTAGCAAGACAGATCTAAGGAAATGAGAAGAATCTATGTGGGGCAAAGATGGTTTTGTAAATAAGACCTGCTCCAAATGGTAGAGAGCAGGAATTCTGGGAAGATACACAACAACCAGCAGAAATTACAGAGTGGGATGACCAGAAAAGGCCATACCATGCAAGATGATGCTCCTGCAGCCCCAGCACAGACCATGACATCGGCAATGCGGTTGCCCCAGAATTTCTTGCACTCCTGGTTGGTCAGCAGAGGAAGAGCCACCTGTTGCAATTTGTTGGGCGAGACCTTGTCTGAAATAGATCATCAAACACACAAAAATGAGAAAAGACACCCACACATCTATATCATCTCTGACTCTTGACTCGGGGATAAATCCATGCAGACCTCTCAGTTTTAAAAAACCTTGAAATATCCTGCTTGAGCACAAAACCCTATACCACTTCAGACAAATGGCTGTCCAGTCTCTTCTTAAAAACTTCCAGTGTTGGAGCATTCACCGCTTCTGGAGGCAGGTTGTTCCACTGGTTAATTGTTCTAACTGTCAGGAAGTTTCTCCTTAGTTCTAGGTTGCTTCTCTCCTTGATTAGTTTCCATCTGTTGCTTCTTGTCCTGCCTTCAGGCGCCTTGGAGAATAGCTTGACTC